ATATAGACAGTATAGTATTCCTGTCTTTGGCCTCCAACCTCCATCATTATAGTGATCCCTATTCTGAAATACTATTCTACTATAAAATTACTATTCTAAAATATAGACAGTAGATAGTATTCCTGTCTATGGCCTCCAACCTCCATCATTTAGTGATCCCTATTCTGAAATACTATTCTACTATAAGATTACTATTCTAAAATATAGACAGTAGATAGTATTCCTGTGTCTATGGCCTCCAACCTTCATCATTTAGTGATCCCTATTCTGAAATACTATTCTACTATAAGATTACTATTCTAAAATATAGACAGTAGATAGTATTCCTGTCTATGGCCCAACCTCCAACCTCCATCATTTAGTGATCCCTATTCTGAAATACTATTCTACTATAAGATTATTCTATTTCTAAAATATAGACAGTAGATAGTATTCCTGTCTATGGCCTCCAACCTCCATCATTTAGTGATCCCTATTCTGAAATACTATTCTACTATAAGATTACTATTCTAAAATATAGACAGTAGATAGTATTCCTGTCTATGGCCTCCAACCTCCATCATTTAGTGATCCCTATTCTGAAATACTATTCTACTATAAGATTACTATTCTAAAATATAGACAGTAGATAGTATTCCTGTCTATGGCCTCCAACCTCCATCATTTAGTGATCCCTATTCTGAAAATACTATTCTACTATAAAATTACTATTCTAAAATATAGACAGTAGATAGTATTCCTGTCTATGGCCTCCAACCTCCATCATTTAGTGATCCCTATTCTGAAATACTATTCTACTATAAGATTACTATTCTAAAATATAGACAGTCATGGCCTCCATTCCTGTCTATGGCCTCTAAAGATTACCATTTTTAGTAGTATTCCTGATCCCTATTCATTTAATACTATTCTAATATAATAAGATTACTATTCTAAAATATAGACAGTAGATAGTATTCCTGTCTATGGCCTCCAACCTCCATCATTTAGTGATCCCTATTCTGAAATACTATTCTACTATAAGATTACTATTCTAAAATATAGACAGTAGATAGTATTCCTGTCTATGGCCTCCAACCTTCATCATTTAGTGATCCCTATTCTGAAATACTATTCTACTATAAGATTACTATTCTAAAATATAGACAGTAGATAGTATTCTCCTGTCTATGGCCTCCAACCTCCATCATTTAGTGATCCCTATTCTGAAATATCCTATTCTAAATAAAGATTACTATTCTAAAATATAGACAGTAGATAGTATTCCTGTCTATGGCCTCCAACCTCCATCATTTAGTGATCCCTATTCTGAAATACCATTCTACTATAAAATTACTATTCTACAATGTAGACAGTAGATAGGATTCCTGTCTATGGCCTCCAACCTCCATCTTTTAGTGATCCCTATTCTGAAATACTATTCTACTATAAGATTACTATTCTAAAATAGACAGTAGATAGTATTCCTGTCTATGGCCTCCAACATGTCATTTAGTGATCCCTATTCTCCAACCTATTCTACTATAAATTCTACTTAAGATTACTATTCAGTAAATATTTACAGTAGAATATAAGTATTCCTGTCTATTCCTCCAACCTCCATCATTTAGTTCCCTATTCTGAAATACTATTCATACTATAAGATTACTATTCTACAATATAGACAGTAGATAGTATTCCTGTCTATGGCCTCCAACCTCCATCATTTAGTGATCCCTATTCTGAAATACTATTCTACTATAAGATTACTATTCTAAAATATAGACAGTAGATAGTATTCCTGTCTATGGCCTCCAACCTCCATCATTTAGTGATCCCTATTCTGAAATACTATTCTACTATAAGATTACTATTCTAAATACATATAGACACTCTAGATATTATTTTAGTCCCTATTCTGAAATACTATTCTACTATAAAATCCATTTATATTAGTGATCCCTATTCTAAAATCCTTTTCCCTATTCTGAAATACTATTCACTATAAGATTACTATTCTAAAATATAGACAGTAGATAGTATTCCTGTCTATGGCCTCCAACCTCCATCATTTAGTGATCCCTATTCTGAAATACTATTCTACTATAAGATTAATATTCTAAAATATAGACAGTAGATAGTATTCCTGTCTATGGCCTCCAACCTCCATCATTTAGTGATCCCTATTCTGAAATACTATTCTACTATAAGATTAATATTCTAAAATATAGACAGTAGATAGTATTCCTGTCTATGGCCTCCAACCTCCATCATTTACCTCCATTTTATAAGATTACTATTCTACCAGTTAGTATTCTGTTTGGCCTCCAACCTTTTTTAGTGATCCCTATTCAAAATACTATTACTAATTACTATTCTACAATATAGACAGTAGATTTTATTATTCCTGTTTATGGCCTCCAACCTCCATCATTTAGTGATCCCTATTCTGAAATACTATTCTACTATAAGATTACTATTCTAAAATATAGACAGTAGATAGTATTCCTGTCTCTGGCCTCCAACCTCCATCATTTAGTGATCCCTATTCTGAAATACTATTCTACTATAAAATTACTATTCTAAAATATAGACAGTAGATAGTATTCCTGTCTATGGCCTCCAACCTCCATCATTTAGTGATCCCTATTCTGAAATACTATTCTACTATAAAATTACTTATTCTATAACAGTAGATAGTATTCCTGTCATGGCTTGTTTTATTTTAGATCCCTATTCTGTACTATTCTACTATAAGATTACTATTCTACAATATAGACAGTAGATAGTATTCCTGTCTATGGCCTCCAACCATCATTTAGTGATCCCTATTCTGAAATACTTTCTACTATAATTACTATTCTACAATATAGACAGTAGATAGTATTCCTGTCTATAATTCCAACCTCCATCATTTAGTGATCCCTATTCTGAAATACTATTCTACTATAAGATTACTATTCTAAATATAGATATATATATTATTCTGTCTATGGCCTCCAACATCCATCATTTAGTGATCCCTATTCTGAAATACTATTCTACTATAAGATTAGATATTCTAAAATATAGACAGTAGATAGTATTCCTGTCTATGGCTCCAACCTCCATCATTTAGTGATCCCTATTCTGAAATACCTTCTGCTATAAGATTACTATTCTACAATATAGACAGTAGATAGTATTCCTGTCTATGGCCTCCAACATTCCATCATTTAGTGATCCCTATTCTGAAATATATATTCTATATAGATCTACTATTATTCCTTCTACCTCCAATATAGACAACCATATAAAATTGTCTATAAAATTTATTGACAAATCCATGAACAAATTCTATTCTACTATAAGATTACATCATTTATATGAACACAATATAGACAGTAGATAGTATTCCTGTCTATGGCCTCCATCCATCATTTAGTGATCCCTATTCTGAAATAGATTCTACTATAAGATTATATTCTACAATATAGACAGTAGATAGTATTCCTGTTCATGGCCTCCAACCTCCATCATTTAGTGATCCCTATTCTGAAATACTATTCTACTATAAGATTACTATTCTAAAATATAGACAGTATAGTATTCTGTCTATGGCCTCCAACCTCCATCATTTAGTGATCCCTATTCTGAAATACTATTCTATATAAGATTACTATTCTACAATATAGACAGTAGATAGATATTCCTGTCTATGGCCTCCAACCTCCATCATTTAGTGATCCCTATTCTGAAATACCATTCTACTATAAAATTACTATTCTACAATATAGACAGTAGATAGTATTCCTGTCTATGGCCTCCAACCTCCATCATTTATGATCCCTATTCTATAAATACTATTCTACTATAAAATTACTATTCTAAAATATAGATGTAGATAGTATTCCTATATGGCCTCCAACCTCCATCATTTAAACATATATGAAATATATATATAAAATATATATAGATAGATATAGATCACTATTCTGAAATATTATATTTATATATTATATATTCTATTTATAGTTTAACTATTTTTTATATGAAATACTTTCTACTATAAGATTACTATTCTAAAATATAGACAGTTAGTATTCTCCAACCTCCATCATTTAGTGATCCCTATTCTGAAATACAATGGCTATATTCAGTAGATAAGATACAGGATAAAATTATACATTATTTTAGATAACATCTTTACTATAAGAAATTTTGTATAAATCTGTCTATGGCCTCCAACCTTCACATTTAGTGATCCCTATTAGATAGATTACTTTCTACATCTGTCTGTCAAACGTGAACTCTCTTTAATCCTTAATAAATAATCGATTACTTTTCATAGACAGTAGGATCTAGACGCAGTTTTGCCAACCTCCAATTTATGACTTATAACCTACTAACTCATCATAACATTTAGAAACAATTGTCCTTAAAAGACTAAGATTGACAGATATTGTAAATACTATTCTACTATAAATTAATTCTAACATATAGACATAGATTCACACTATAGGTAGATAGGATAGACAAACATATATAATAGATAGATAGATAGATAGATAGATAGATAGATAGATAGATAGGTACGCTTTGTTTTTGCTATTATTTTTATATATGACTTGCATTTTTCCTATCTGCTTATCTGTTTCCTTCATGGACTCATTTAAAATGACAACACGTTTTTCGCAAACTCTGTCGAAATCTCTGTCCAATTCGCTCTTTCAATCTTGTCTTCCTTCTCTCAAGTGTCTCCTAGCTCCCTTCGTTAGATAAATAGATAGATTGATGAACAGACACAGATAGATAGATAAAAGATAGATTAACTCTAATACTCTTTCATTAAATGAATCATCTAGACATGCCGTCTGTTATCCAGATAGATAGCAAATTATAGATATTATATTTCTACGCAGTGTATCTCAGATGACGTTTGAAGATAGAATTAAACAAACAGAAGATTGACAGACATGAAAAAATAGAGATATTAGACAGATAATTTTCCGTCTCTGCTAATCCGTGTTTTCACATTCAAATTAAATAATAGATAGAAAGATTCGATAGATAGATAGATAATCGATAGATAGATATTTCGATAGATAGATAGATAGATAGATAGATAGATAGATTAAATAAGAAACTTTTGATAGATAGATATACAGATAGATATGAACGCATAGATAGATAGATAGATAGATAGATAGATAGATAGATAGATAGATAGATAGATATATAGATAGATAGATAGATAGATAGATAGATATATACATATAGATAGATAGATAGATAGACAGATAGATAGATAGATAGATAGATAGATAGATAGATAGATAGATAGATAGATAGATAGATAGCTCTATTTTTGCTATAATATTTTATATATGACTTTGCGTTTTCCGTATCTGCTAATCAGTGTTCTTCCTCCTCCGGCGATGGACACAATTAGAGACAACATATCTTCAGCAAGCAATTTCGAAAAAACTGTCCAATTCTCTTTTTCAGTCTCGGCTTCCTTCTCTTAAGTGTTCCCTCGTCTATAATCCTTAATGCCCTCGTCCGCACACATACACCATTCTCCAAAAGGTCAACTTCGAATGGAAATCTGCGTGGAAATCTTCGTCTGTCCATAATATTATATTCAGGGCGAGGACTCTCATCATAATCCCCCTCGATGACAATGACATTGACGTCTATGGGATATTGTCTTTGGCCAGGGCTAATTCCTAAACCACGAGTCCACGAAGGTGAGTCATTAGCATCCATTCTGGCCTCTTCCATCTGTAAAGTTGCAACCTGCGAAACTGGCTTCAGCTCGCTCCATCTCTTTCCAAAGTCCGTATTTTCCAGCGATAGGTTATTCCCTTTCACAAAGAGACTGCTGTCCGATTGGGTGCGTCGGATGAAGAGTCGCTTCTGCTCCATGTCTTGGGAAATACCCAAGTTGGACAAAGACTTAGAAAACTTTATTCCAGACATCCAGAGACAAGATATGACGGCCTTGTGGTTTTTCTCTATCAGGCAAGTTAAATATTAACTAATTAAATATTGTTGTTCTAAAATTACTTAAGATTTTCAACGAGTTTTTTTTATAAATTCCACGAAGAACTACGCGATTTCCGATTTGCTACTACTTAACTACCTAAATTATTTCGATCCTTGAGTTATTCCAAAAATGTTTCTAATGAACTTTCAAGATCAGTGTCTGTAAAATTCCAAGGTCAGTTTCTTCCAAAATAAGTTCCAAGTTATGTCCTTTGTTAATTTCCAAGGTCTGTAAAATCCTAGTAAATCTCCAGGTTCGTAGATCGGAGGAGATTATATAAAATGGCTGCCTAAATATTCAATATCCTTAGATATTTAAGTACCTAGATAAATTCTTAGTTAATTTACACACACAGATATGCAAGATACTGAATTCTATAAGTGACTAGATATGTAATGTCCTATTCTGTATGCGTCCTTATATCCTAAGATGTTTCGATACCAAGTTATACAAATTTCTTTAATATATAATTGCCTAGACACCTAAGATCCTAAAATATTTAAATTCCTAGATATATAAAATCCTTAGAATTATATGTCGGCTTCTAAATAACGGTAAACCTACCTGGCTAACTGAACACTAAATTTCTAAAATTTCAGTAGTGGCTATTTATTCCTTTGTTTGGATAAAACTATACCGATTAGTTTTGAATTTTTTTGAAGCAATTGATAAGATGTGGATTTCAAGAATCAGGAATTAGAAGCTTGAAAAATAAGTAAAAATAAGCGTTGTTATAACAAATGGAAATAAAATTTGTGATAATACACTGTTCTGAAATCAAATAGTTTATATTATTTTAAGTTCAACAAAACTTCTTTCTAAATAACAAACAAATGGATTTAATAGATAATACAAAATATCAAATACAGAAATAAAAAATAAAAAAACGTACAGATTATTTTAAATATTGATTGTAGATTAAATTTAATCAAGTAATATCAATCTATAAGCTTTATTTAAAATAGGAAACAAACCAGTATCAGATATTTCTTTATAAAAAATAAAATGACGTGCTTTTTATTCAAAGTGTAACTAAAAAAATATTTTTCTTTGAGGAGATACAAACCACTCAACTTGGTTTTATAAATTCAAAATAAAAAAATATTCTAGTAATAATGTAGAAAATCGATTGATTTGTGCTAATTTATTTAAAAAATATGAAATAAAACTCGTAAGAAAATTAAAAATCTGCTTTGATGATCAAATTTCAGGAGATAAGTTTTAAAGATAAGCAAGTATATTTTCTCTAATTTTTTTCAAATATGAAAAGGATAAAACAATTCAATTTAACCGTTTCTTTATCAAAATTTAACTGAGAAAAACTTTCTTCAAAATATAAAAAATAATGAATGTGAAAACTTCTGTATATCTGAAAGAAAAGAATAAATGAAAAAAAAAAACAGAAAAAAAAAGAGAGAAAATTGACTAAAGGTTTTTTTTTCGCCTTTTTGAATTCAAACTTTGGCGGCGCGGTTTTAGTTAAATCTGGGGAAAGAAAGAAAATGTTAATCAAACAAAAGACTCACAGAAAGTCGAATGGGTGAAAAGATTGGTGAAAAATGCAATGAATCTGAAGAAATTCGGCAAGTGAAGCAAGAAGCGAGATACAGCGAGCTTGGTTCGTGCAAGAAAATCAGCAAAATGCCAGCGATTCTTGTTTTGGGTTCGTCTCCAGAGAAACGGAACGCTCGGTCTTTTGAAAGAAACGGACAAATTTATTAACGGCCGAGCGTCACTTGCAACCGTCACAAATTTACCGGAAATATCCGAAGTAAATCGTAGATATTTTATTATTACCATTTCCAATATACCAATATTATAACGATTTTATTAATTTCACAATTTTCTTTTTCGAGGTTTTTTTCTTAGCAAATTAAATCAATAAAGTACTTCGAGAATTTTTTTTATTCAATAATCCGAGCTACGTGAAACGTTAGAAAAAGATGCTGAATCAAATCTGGAGGAATTGTCTTTCATAAAGATAGGCATAACGTATCATCATCATCATCATCATCATCATCATCATCATCATCATCAAAACTGTTTCGATTTGAAGTCATGAATTAACATGTTCACTCATCTTCAGTGACATTGTATACTGATTCGACAACATTTTGACAGCCTTCTCCGTCCCTAGGTCCTGATGCAAATATATGTGAAGAGAAGCGTGTCAGTGAGACAGCCAAAACTGTTATAGGGGAATGATATACGATTGAGACAAAAGATTTCTGTGCGACATTTGATGGTAATAGTTGGACAGCTGAGTGGGTCTGGAAGGATTTCTGCGCGCTATTTGAGGGTAATAGTCTGATAGCTGAATGGACCTGGAAAGATTTCTGTGCGGCATTTGATGGTGATAGTTGGACAGCTGAGTGGGTCTGGAAGGATTTCTGGGCGCTATCTGAGGGTAATAGTCTGGTTGCTGAATGGACCTGGAAAGATTTCTGTGCGGCATTTGATGGTGATAGTTGGACAGCTGAGTGGGTCTGGAAGGATTTCTGCGCGCTATTTGAGGGTAATATTCAGATAGCTGAATGGACCTGGAAAGATTTCTGTGCGGCATTTGATGGTGATAGTTGAACAGCTGAGTGAGTCTGGAAGGATTTCTGCGCGCTATTTGAGGGTAATAGTCAGAGAGCTGAATGAACCTGGAAAGATTTCTGCGCGCTATTTGAGGGTAATAGTCAGATAGCTGAATGGGCATGGAAAGATTTCTGTGCGCTATTTGAGGGTAATAGTCAGATAGCTGAATGGACATGGAAAGATTTCTGTGCGGCATTTGATGGTGATAGTTGGACAGCTGAGTGGGTCTGGAAGGATTTTATTGCGGCATTTAGTGGTGATAGTTGGTCAATTGAGTGGGCCTAGAAAGATTTCTTTGCGACATTTGATGGTAATATTTGGACAGCTGAATGGGCCTTGAAAGATTTCTGGGCGGCATTTGATGGAAATAGCTTGACAGCTGAGTGGGTCTGGAAAGGTTTCTGTGCGACATTTGAAGGTAATAGCTTGATAGCAGAATGGGCCTGGATTGGTGTCTGTGCGGCATTTGATAGTGATAGTTGGACAGTTGAGAGGGCCTGGAAAGATTGTATTGCGGCATTTAATGGTGATTGTTTAACAACTGAATATGCCTGGAAATATTTCGAGTCGACATTTCATGGTAACAGTTTGATAGGTGAATGGGCTTGGAAAGATTTTTGTGCGGCATTTGATGATGATAGTTGGACAGCTGAATGTGCCTGGAAAGATTTCCGTGCGACATTTGCTGGTGATAGTTGGACAGTTGAATGGGCCTGGAAAGATTACTAGGCGGCATTTGATGATGGTGATAGTTGGACACCTGAGTGGGCCTGGAAAGATTTCTGGGCAGCATTTGATGATGATATTTGGACAGCTGAATGTGCCAGAAAGATTTCCGTGTGGCATTTTCTGGTGATAGTTGGACAGTTGAGTGGTCCTGGAAAGATGTCTGTAAGGTATTTGATGATGATATTTGAACATCTGAGTGGGTCTGGAAAGATTTCTGGGTGGCATTTGATGGTGATAATTGGACAACTGAGTGGGCCTCGAAAGATTTCTGTGCGGCATATGATGGAAATAGTTGGACAGCTGAATGTGCCAGAAAGATTTCCGTGCGGCATTTGCTGATGATAATTGGACATCTGAGTGAGCCTGGAAAGATTTTTGTGCGGCATTTGATGGTAATACTTGGACAGCTAAGAGGGCCTGGAAAGATTTCTGTGCGGCATTTCATGGTGATAGTTGGACAGCTGATTGGGCCTGGAAAGATTTCTGGGCGATAATTGATTGTGATAGCTGGACAGCTGATTGAGCCTGGAAAGGTTTTTTTTCTTTATCACTGCCTCCATCCATTTGAACATATTCAACAATTGTTTATCTAAAATCTGCCGATCTACAAGTCCTCATCTCCCGGAAGTTGTGTAAGCACCATCTTGTTAAATGTAGGTACCTTAACTTTTTTACTGAAAAACATCATAGTATGATGAAAAAGGACACAAACTTACTAAAAATAAATTTTTATCGTCAAAATGTTTATGCTATTATTAAGAGGACAGAAAAAATTTTTTTTTTTATTATTTTTACATATTTTTAAAACCTTTCTAACGCATTCTAGATTTCCTTAATTTTTTTTTTTTTTTACGTCAGCACATTTTTACAGTGCGTGTTTATTGCACTTTTTTTAGTGAAAAACATTAATTTCAAAATTCATGCAAAAACCAAATAATTTTCGGATTTTACTGAATCTTTCAGGACTTATTTAAAAATGTAAGATCTTATTTGTGGACTTTTTTGTTTTAGAAAATCTTAGTAAAAATTATTTTTTTTACTTATTAATTTCATGAAATTTCATGTATTATTTTTTCTTTCCAGAATTTTTTTTTTTTAGTTAAATGTACCAATAAAATTATCCAAGTTTCTTTTTCAAACTTTTACTATTTATACTGAAAATCTGCTTCGAATAGTAAACTAAAAAAATGTAATCAAACTATGACATTACTTATTTAATAAAGTTTTTAATTGCTTTTGTAAATAAGTTATATTAAGTACACTATTGTCTTAAGAAATAATTGTTTTTCGATAAATAATGAATTTTCGCAAGAATTTTTCATTTTTTAAAATTTCATAATTTAAAAATCGTTTAAAATTCTGTATTACTTTATTTCCTTTATGTGATATTGTAATTAAGTGGAAACGAAATTTACAAATCTAAAACTGAAAGGCTTAATAAACATTGTTTTGCTATTACATTTTTTATTTTTATTTTTTTTACTTTATTCGTTCCATTTTTTCATCTATGGGAGCCTAAACGTATTAGTATTACGAAATGGTCACGTGCTTGGAATAAAGAAAATAGAAAAATGATTTTAGCTAATTTTAATTAAAGTTTACTAACTATCAATAATTAAAGAATAATTTAATTATTATAAAAAAAATTCCAGGTCAATCTGTTAATTTTCTTGCCCACTTATCTTTATTTTAATTTCATCTGTTATTAAATTTTTAAATTAATTTTAAGAAAAAAAATTATAGCATTTTAAATTGTTTAATTTTTTCATAAAACAACTTCAAATGTATCTAAAAGTAACTGAAATATTAGATAACTGCTGAAAATATGTCAAATTGTAAAAAAAAATACTAGGTTGTAAAAAAAAAAAGAAAGAAATATATTTACTTAGATTCCGTAAATTTATGACATTTCTGGTCATCCATACTAGCTGTCATCACCTCGGAACTTATCGATACGCTAATAAAGATAAAAGAAAAACAGGACCTGTCGTTAAGAAATGCTTGTATTTTACTTTTTTGTGCTATAAGTAAGTAATGTTTATTTCAAATCAGATTAATTTAACTTTATATTTGCTAATTTTACTCAGATAACGTGCCAGAAATATATATTTTATTTTTGGTAGATTTTTTAAATGGATAATTATGTTTTGTTTACAAATTTCTTAAAGTTAAAAAAAAATGGCAGCTTGTAAGAATACTTTCTGAAATCGACTAAAATGCTAACATTCCGAAGTATATAATTTCTATTTGAAATACAGAATATTTTACTTACCGGAAATAGCAAATTTAATCATTTAGATTTCAATTAAAACTAAAATGAAATCTTCAATCATGCTTTTTCATTTAAAAAAAAATCATTTTAAACCTTATGTATCGAAAATTCAATGGAAGGACTTACTTTTTTATATATTTGTTACTCCTACCGCACTTACTTATTTTCATGAAATTTTGCGAAATTAAATTTTAATCGAAAAAATTGTTTAATTATTTAAAAGCAGAACTCCTTGATGAATGTAAATTATGAATTTCTTTTTTCAAACTCCTACTCATTTCCCGAAAATCTGCTCAGAATCGTAAAATAAAAATGCAATAAAACTATGACATTATTTAATTAGAAAAGCCTTTAATTACTTTTATAAATAAGATTTATTAAAGTCACTATTGTCTTAAGGAAAAGAAATTCGATGAATACCTTTTTACAAGAATGGTTTCCATTTTTTTATTTTAATTATAATAATTTATTATAATTTAAATATACATCTTTTAAAATTTCAGCATTACTCTAATTTCGTTAGGTGATATTGTTATTAAGTGAAAATCTATATGTACTTATCCAAAATTGAAAAGCTTAATACAAATCATTTTGTACCAAGATTTTTAAAATAACTTTATTTTTTTATTTTTATTTTTTGTGTATATAAACTTGACCACTTTGAAAGTATGGGCGACAATACAAAATATCAGAAAATAAGAGCTATGATATAGTAAATTTTAAGTCCATATTCCTAAAATTAGATTACGGAGAATATTTTTCAAAATTTTTTTAAGAGTACTTAAAATTATATACTGATTATAAATTAATAAGAGTACTTAATATATATATATATATATATATATATATATATATATATATATATATATATAGTATAAAATTTTAAATTACATGTAACTCACTCATGTCTTCTCTCTCCCCACTCACTTCGTTAATTTACATATGTTTAATACGGCCCGTCAAATATGTGTAAATTTCTTTTCATTTTTTTGTTTCAACCTTTGGAAGTAAAGTCTGATGATCCGCAGTCCTTTAAAAGGGCTGTGGTGAAATAATTTATTACATGGAACCTTAAAGTGGTCTGTTTTTATTTAAATTATTTGCTTTGGATTTACATTGAGCTCTCTGGATTTTATCCTCCTTGGATCTAACCATACGGATTACCTAGTTTTTCATAAACCAAATATATATATATATATATATATAGAGAGAGAGA